TCATGACCCATGCTCCCCACTGGTGCTTCTCCGTCGGAGATCATCTAGGAGAAAATTTGACTTCAAAATTTTTATATGGTGTAGATTAGAAGAGAAGAATATGCTTTCGATTAATTTTAACTAGTTTCTGTCCCATGCATTTGCACGGAAAACTAATTATTAGAATAAGTAAGTAATATAAGTACACAAAATAAAAAAATACCATTTTGATCATCAAAATATTTACAGTTGAAACAAATTCTAAATATTATTAAAGACGTCTTTATATACCACATTTACGGTTTTTCTATCATCAAAATTTCTATCGTCATAAATAATTATCTTCAAACTCTTTCGATGCGTGACTCTTGAAAGAACAACGTATAACTGGTCATGGCTGAAGACGAAGTTCTTAATTACTAAATCGACGTGCGATAGAGACTGTCCCTGACTCTTATTGATTGTCATACACTAAAATTTGAACAGTAGCCTCAAATTGGAAGGTATGATGGTGAGATTAGGAATAAGAACCTTATCATCAGCTCTAGCACCGGTTAAAATTCTGCATTCGAGGACATGACATTGACTGTTGTGCTTAGTATTAACCAAACATATACAGTTGCACAACCCCATGGCCCATGGAGTGGTAAATGTTTCTCAACTGCATCACTGGATTACCGAGTGCAATCTACAACTTAGAAGTCCTGAGCTCTTAATATTAGAAGACCTCAATAAGCCAATAAAATAAATGACATATTTTAAAGAAAATAATTTAATGTAGCCCATAATTTAAAAATTTAAGGATTATGTGTTATTGATACAATGGTTTTTTTAACCAATTTTTTTATACCAATAACAATTACACGAGTATGAGTAATATAACAATCAATACAAAATAAGTGGACAAAAAAAAAGAAAAAAAAAAGACTAAATACTTGATTTTTTTAAAGACAAAAAATAGTAGTTATAATCGGCACTTTTATTAGTTTAATGCCCAAAAAAAGGCCAGAAAAAATTTCCTTTAGATATACCATATTATTTGACTTTTGTTCAAACAACACAAAATATATGGGCTATATTATGGCTATATTATATAATATAATATTGTGTTATAGAACGGCCCAAAATAATGTTAACATATAATAATAGGCTATCAAACGGCAAACAAAATTCATTATCTTGGATTTTTTTAAAACAACCCAAGAAATGATGCAAGTCATCAGCCCATATTCGGTAGGTTCGAGACACCTCAATACAAAGCCCTTAAATTTAGCCTTATATATAAGCATATTGACGCTTTTAACGCTGCTTCATTAGTTCTACTCTCAGCCACACCACATCTTTCACTTTCACATCGAAAAAAAACTACGATCTATGTCACCATCGGCGACCGTCAATCATACCATACTCCTTAAACATCAAACGACGGCGACTGATCGTATAGATCGTTTGAAAGAAACTCAAAATCTAAATGTCATTGAATATTCAACGCGTTTTAGATCTGACATTTATTCGGCGCGATTTAAGATTTTTGGTTCTCTGATTTATAGAAAGCCGGTAAAATTGTTCGATATATATTAGTATATATTGCGTACTATGTTCTTTTTTGAGATTTTTTATGGTTTATAGACAATACTCTCAGATTTGTTTAGCAGACCTTTAGATTTTGAATTGACTTTGAACTCCTGCGTTTTCCTTCATTTTATGTCCAAGTTTTCAGTTTTATATAAAATTTCAGGAGAATCCTTTCATTTTATGTCCAAGTTTTCAGTCTTACAACAAATTTGAGGAGAAATCTTGTTTAGGCTCCAAAAACAATTGTTGGATGCAGCAAAAGAATAAAATTAAAAATCAATTTACTAAATAGGATGTCTCTTTTTTCATTTGGTATGTTGTATTGTGTTTGAAATTTTATTTCCTGTATGATAGTTATTGTTTCGATTAAATGTATACAAAATGTATATTTAGTCTTTACTGTCCACATTTTGCAATTAGTTTAAACAAATGATTAATGGTTGTCTGTAATGTTTTTAGGCGGGAATTGGTTTTATTAAATAGGTAAAATTAAATGCATATGCTAGAAATTATATATATATATGTATATATATATATATATATATATATATATAGATTATTTCCATATGTATGTTTGTGGCAAAATACGAACTGTGGCAAGATGAGTGAAATGTGAGGCGGCTGAGGATATGTAAAGTAATTAGCTAATTAGGGTTGGCAATGGGTTGAATTTTTAGGTTTTACCAAACATTTTCTTGTGTTTTATACATTGGTTGGGCCACTTTGTTGTTTGAAAGAATTTGTTTTAACTTTGGGATGGGCCACTTTGTTGAATCGACTTGAGCTTGCTTTTTAAATTTGTGGTTGAGCATTTGTAAACAAATATTTATTTAATTGTATTTTTTAGGTTGATTATAATGTTATAGTTTATAATATAGTAAATTATAAGTTTGAATAATATATAGTATTCTTCATGAGAATCTGTAGAATCTGCAGGCTTCTTTATCTAATATCCTTCATGGGGTGGTTGTTAAAAGGTCATCCAAATATCTGGGGTTACCTCTAGGGATAGGAGCTTCCAAAATTGATACTTTCCAGTTTGTGGTGGATGCTGTGAGGGAGAGGATCTGTAGCTGGAAAAATAATTTCTTATCATCTGCTGGTAAAGAACCTTGGTGAAGGCAGTGCTTTGTGCCCTACCTGTTTTTGTGATGTCCTACGTCATTCTACCAGTGAAGTTGTGTAAGGAAGTTCGCAGAATTGTGTCTAACTTTTGGTGGAATAAAGGGGATGCACAGAAGAAGAGTTTAGACTGGTGTTCTTGGGACAAGTTGACTGCTCCCAAAGAGGATGGGGGATTGGGGTTCTTGGATTTGCAACTTTTCAATAAAGCTTTGGTTCTTAAGCAGCTGTGGAGGATTATTGAACAGCCAGACATCCTCATGTGCAGAGTGTTGAGAGGCAGATATTTCAAAAATTGCTCTATCTTTGACTGGAAGAATACTGGGGGTGCCTCTTGGGTTTGGAATTCTTGGGCTTCCCTGTTGCCTTATCTTCAGAAGCAGGTAAACATTGTTGTCAGAAATGGGCAGACCACTAGAATCAATGAGGCCAACTGGGTTCCAGTTCTAGCTTGCAGAAAACCAAATCTGAGGGTGGATGTGGATGGTAATATGTTCTGGGTGAAGGACTTGCTATTGGCTGATGGAGTGCAATGGGATTCAATCATATTAGAGTTCTGTTTGCTGAAGATAATGGTGAGAAATTTTACTGATCAAATCACTAAACCCCAGAGTTCCTGATCAAAGGCAGTGCTCTTCAGTGTTGAAGGGAAAGTTCTCATTGAAGAGAGCTTACTCAAATTTTTTAGCTGTCAAGCTGGGACAAAGATTTGTGGCTGAGTCCAGTGTCATGGCTAGCAAGAATAGGAAAGCAAGGAAAAGATGTTGGAGTCTCAAAGTTATGGGCAAGGTGAAATTTTTTTGTTTGGCAGTGTTTTTCTAATTTCCTTCCTGTGAGCAGTAATTAGCAAGCTAGAGGGATGGATGTTGAGACTATTTGCAGAGTTTCCTTCCTGTGAGCAGTAATTAGCAAGCTAGAGGGATGGATGTTGAGACTATTTGCAGAGTATGTGGGGAGGAGGAGCAAACACAAGAACATTGTTTGTTCTTGTGTAGGAAGGCCAAAACTGTTTGGAAAATCTCACCAGTTAACTGGAATAGAGTACAAGAGGATCAACTATCTTTGAAACAATTGTGGTGGTGGGTGAGTGGTATGGCTACTGAGGTTTGTGCTGAGGAAAGAATCCAGCTCTCCACATATATATTATGGTGGCTGTGGAGAGCTAGAAACCTGTTGGTGTTTGAGGGTAAATGGCTAGAGGAAAGTTGGATCATCAAATCTGTTTTGAGAGACTGGCTGGACTTCAAGAAGAGCAACATCACTGGCCTTTAGAGGATCAAGCTAGATAAGTTAGGTCTTGTGTCAGTTTCTTATCTGTTTTGATTCCCTCTTGATTTTGTGTCTTTTGTTGTTGTCCTAGCTTATATTCTGGGAAATGGTAGTTGTTGTCCTGCTTTCTGGTCCTGTACTCTAACTATATAGTAGATTTGGGTGGTTTCATTGTTTCTTTTTCTTTGTGCTGGGTTTGGTTAGGGAGCAGTTGTGCTACCTTCTCATGTTCTACTCGGATTTGGGGTTTTTTCCCTTGTACATTGACCTTTTTGGTCCGTTTTAATGGAGATTTTTATATCTTTGGAAAAAAAAAATAATATACAATATTTAAAAATATTATTAAATTAAAAATACCAATTTAAGCACTAGTCAGACCAGTGAACCAATAAACCAGTACCTCCACCGGTTGGATGACCACTTCGATTTTTAAGGGTGTGATTGTTTATGGATTCAACTAGTTTTTATTTGGTTTGTTTTTTAACTATAGTTAACTTTGAAAAAAGTGATATGGTTAGTTGTTAGTGGATGTATTAAAATAATATTTAAATTAAATAATTAAAGTTGATTTGATGTAAAATAGAAGAAAAATAATTGGAAGTGATGGTTAGTTAAAATTATGTGAGTGGATGAATAGTGAACTAAAGTTGATGTGATGTGTAAAAAATGATTGGTTGATATTATTTAATTATATTGATAATATGAGAGATAGTGGAGTTGAGTTAAAATTGAGTTAAATTTGAGTTTTGAAATCGCCTCTAAAACCTTCATAATAGTAAAATGTGGTTGGAACGACGAAGCAAAGGACAAACATCACCCGGCAAGATTAGAAAAGTCCACCCAATCCACAAAAGAGAGGGGAAATATTCAAATTTCAAAGACGTTGACACATACATAATAAGTAATATATTTTGATTCATTCAACACTAAAAATGTATTGTGGAGTTGAAATTCAAATCTCATTCTCATCTTCTCCGCATGCGACTTTTTTCTGATTGAAATCGTAATCGACGGTGAACAAAAGCAAAAGAAAAAAAAAAAAAAAANNNAAAAAAATGGCGTCGATCAATACGAATATCAACAGCGGTGGTGCCAACATAGGTTTCCATGAATTGAAGAAGCAGGCTTCTTTCTTCCTCAAGGAGAAGATCAAATCTGCCCGGCTGGCCTTGACCGACGTCACACCCGCTCAACTGTAAATATTTTTTTACTTCTTTCAAATATTAATTAATACACAGTTGCTAATCTCATCTCTTGTGTTGTGTTGTGTTGTGGTTTCCCAAGACTGGCTGAAGAAGCTACGAACGGGGATCCGGGCTGTCCCGATGCTAGAACGCTCAAGATGATATCAAAGGCAGCTTTCGAAGTTGATGATTACTGGAGGATTGTGGACATCCTTCACAGAAGGTACACACACACACGACACACATCGATATTCGATTATTGGTTGTTTTTTTTCCTGTCCCTTTTGATTGGATGTTTCGATTTTGCCTTCTGTTTGATTTGAAATTATTTTAATTTTTTTATTTTTTTTTTTAATAACTTGGGTGTAGATTAGTTAGATTTGAGAAGATGAACTGGAGGCCTTCTTACAAGGCTCTGATCGTGGTGGAACACCTGCTGA